CTGAGTAGAGGGACATGTGTAAGGTGTATTGAACAGTTTGATTTAGTTTAGTCTGAGATCCGAGACTCTATGGAGTAGGATTTGGGAGATCAATGGGTAATTATGTAGAGCGTTTATAGTGGTTTACCAACTCAGGAGCTCAACTATTCTACTCTTAAAAGAGTCTCTTGCTCCTGAATATATTGATTATTGTGTGAAATTTACAAAGAATATTTTGTAAGGCTACAACGGCTTCTCCTTCTTTCTTTCGAGGGCTTTGCCTCCTATTTATAGCTATTCATGGGCCTTGCTTGATCTGGGGCGAGATCCTCGCCCCTCATTTGTAACAATTCCCTCCTATTGTATAACGAGACTTACGCCCCTTGATTGAAGCCAGAGAAAGGGAGACTCGGTAGGATCCAACTATCCTTTTCACAGCCTTTCTCATGAAATGGACATGGGGGGTTGAGGTCTGTAAATAATATGAGCTGAGCTCCCGAAGCATGGCCTGATTGGCTGAGCTCATCCTTAGATATTTTTGTGTGGTATTGTCAACATTTATTTAAGATTGACCATTCCCACTATGAACATTCTATTGCATAGTATTGCAAGATTGACTATTCCCACTATAGACATTCTATTGTAGAAATAATATGTTTTTTCGAATCATAAGTACAATTCTAATCATGTGTTTTTCGGGTATATTGTTATAATGCTAATTTTGAATGCATGTAATTGTTTTGTAAATGATGCTCATAGGGTAAATTAAGACTCTCTTGCGAAAACTGAACTTACAACTTGGAGATAATTAATCATGAAAGCTTTTCATCCAAACTTTGTCATAATGTTAGGAATAAATTTGAAGAAAGGGAGAGCACATAATTTGACTATTCTGAAATGTTGTCTATGAATTCAATTTTGAGATGCTCTTAAGTCTTAAACCGAGGTGGGCTTGAACCACCTCTCTTACATTCTTAATGAAATATGACCCACACGCTATATAAGTTTCGAGTTAGTGAATCAGCAACGAGCTCTTTCAGGTCACCATACCGATAAAATTCAGAGAGAGCATGCATAGTTCAAACTCCTGATATTAGTCATCAATTCGGATGATAATGTGGTATACCAGTCGTAAAATCGTAGAATGAGACCGGACAATATGTATAAAATATTAGTCTAGACAATATGTATAAAATACAGTCTAGAAAAAATGGAATATGACCAAAGAATCAAAACATATTGTGAAGTTGATTTAAAGATGATTTGGACGAGTCATGTGAAACTTATAGTTTACATAGAATGTAGAACAAAATCACAAAATGAAATCGAATATTTTGATATATACTATTATGGGTCCATATTTTGGAGAGAGAGAGAGCGAGTGTGTTTATCATTAGGCCTGTCAATTTTGTTGGATTTTAGCAGATTTGTGTAAAAAAAAATACTATATTCATACTTGAATCGTGTCTAACAAATCGTGTCATATCAGATTTGTGTCATATATGCATGTATAACTATTCTATAAATAAGTTGTATTTTTAATTTCTTTTGATTGATTTTACTCGTACCCGACACTATACGAATAAGAGTTTTTTGTGACAAATTTTTTACGGCAGTTTTGTTCGCCGTTACAAAAGACGTGTTTGAGGTAATTTTTTGTGGCGGCAATTTACTGTTATAAAATGTGTGTTTGTATTAATATTTTGTTTATATTTGTGGCAACTAGTTTTCTTGTCATAGTGTCATAAACTCAAAAAAAAAAAAATTTGTATTTGAGACAACTATTTTTTCTACCGCAAATAATATTTTATAAACTCAAAAGAATTTTTTATATTTATGACAGCTATTTTTCCCGTCGTATATAATATTTCATAAAATATTAAAATATTCTTTTAGATTAAAAAACAGTTTATAGCTTAAAGAAGAAAAACTCTAAAAAAAATTTGTATTAGCCACAACTATTTTTCATGTTACAAGTAATATTTTATAAAATTACATAGTTTTACATCAAAAGATAAATTTCTAGTTGAAAGAAAAAAAAAATTAAACTCTACAAAGTTAATTTTTTATATCCAAAATTAGGGGTGTTAAAATATGACACAACTTGTTAGTATGACATAAAATTAATAGGTTTGAGTCTTTTTTAAGCCACATGTTTAGTAAACGAATGGATCTAACATGATACAATTATAAACCAATCAGGTATTGACAATTAGAAGAAATGTATACGATATGACTCGTTTATATATCATTTACATAATTGAATAAACCGTTCAAAAAAATATTGCGTAACCCTCTGTTGATGTATATTTTAACTTATTTTAGTTCTTTATTGTATACATGTTTATAAATATCATTTCAGTATAGTAACAATAATTTTATTTTTTTATTTTTCCAAATGTCACTAAGAGAATAGATGGTTCGGGAAGGATGTTTAACGTATTGCATTAATTTCTTATACTCATGGATCGTTATATTTTTATAAACGCACATATTTTACATTTTGTTTAACTCATAAGATTTTTTTTTTTGGATATTAAAATATTGCTATGTTTTTTGGAATTATTGGTCATATTTACTTTTTTATTTATCTATATATTGAATTGAGTAGTTGTACAGATACCAATGAATCTTTAGTTCAATGATATTATTTACCTTATGAAAATTTTGCTTTTTTGAAGTCAAGGGTTCAAGTCCCCTTCTCCCATTCCCTCAAAAAAAAAAGGTTGTATGGATGTGCACTTTTAAATTCATGTGATAAAAGTGTATATATGCACAGAATATATAATATTGGTTACCAATGATCTATAATAATTAAAAAAAATGTGTTTTCTTTTGTGGCGGCATCGTTGCTGTCGTAAATATATTTTATTTAATGTAGAAAAAATTTCATACTTTTTTGAGACAGTATATTAACCGCCACAATAAATCTTCTATTATTTATGACAAAAAAATGTGGTATTTGAGGCAGTACTTTTGTTGCAGTGATAAAAGCAAAAATGACGGATTTTTTGTGACAACTTATTTATGATAGGGTCTTGCTGTCGTAAATATTATTTGAAATAGTTCGTTGTTGCCGTAAATATCTTTTGAGACCACACTTATTATGACGAGACAATGTCACTACAAAAAAGTATTTGTGACGGCAAATAGACCTTTTGTGACAATACTTTACTATTGTAAAAACTTTTATTTTCTTATAGTGCGATTCGTTTATTAATTGTATGGTGTCAGATTTATTCATTTATAAAATAAGTGACTTAAACAAAGACACACAAGTCCTCTAACTTTATACTATGCTCGTATCATATTAACCAATCCTCTCATACTTTTACACCCCTACAATTCAACAAGTCCATTATCATTTGCATAGAATAGAATGGAAGAGTCTGCAGTGTAGTCTTTCTATGTTCTGGATAGTTGAAAACAGACAATACATCGACAACAAGGAGTTAGAATATTTTACATCTTGATGGCGGGCGGGGACACACTTTCCACTGCACGTGAGTCCGACCAGTTCAAACAATGGGATCCACCAGTGGTATTTCTTGGAAAAACTGTGACACCTATAATACTTAATACTGTTTTTCTAATGTGTGGGCGAGTTATTATTATTATTATTATTAATTTTCGTTCTTTTTAGGACATCAGGATTGAATATCCTTATTCTTCATCATCTTTGGATAGAATAGAAGTAGCCAAAACTTTAGTGTTGTTGTCTTAACTCACAATGTTATCTTTAATTTATCCAATTGTATTAAATGTCAATGAGAGCCAATAGAATCGACAAATAAAAAGAGATATGATAAAACAAATAGATGAAACAGACCCATTACGAGCTGATATCGATACTAATTAAGTTTTATATTCGATATTTTCTTTTTTATTGACATATTTTCTAACTCAATCTCATATAAACAAAATAACCATATCATTAACTACTTGTGTGAGAATTTTCAATAAGGGGTATTTGTAACATTTCTGAAATGTCAAGTGATCACTGCACTATTTCACCAACACTCCGGGGTCTTAGTGTAATTTTACCCATTTTCTATTTCCTCTATAGGGGTTGGTAGCAGTTTTTTTTAGTTCAACGTAGAAGTGTTTGGAAATTTCCTTTTCGGTCCGGTGAAAGGTAAATTATTTACGTTGAGAGTAAAATATTTATGAGATATAAATTTATCATGACTTGACTCTAAAATATTATTAAAATTTAAACTTAAGATATTTAAATTTATAACTTATTCTTATTACCGCTTGGCTCAGGTTGGTAGCAGTTTCTAAAACCATGTGCTTCTAGCTGCTGGTGTTACAGTTTATAGGTCAATGAAGAGTGTCAAAACGTGTGATTACAGCGTCTGAATTGCTGGTTATGATTACGAAAACACATGCACATCATGTAAAATGCTTCCTCTCACCTTTTTCTTGTCATTGGTGCTTCTTTGTTCAGATTTATATCTAGAAATGGCATACCACGTAAGTTGCATTTTAGGTGTCACACTTCTCAGTTCTATATCCTACTGCTAATTAACTATAAGAGTGAATGAGACTTTGTGCAGCGGAAGATATTCGGATTTTTAATTAATACCCTAAGAGATTAAAATTTTTAGATTATACTTTCAATCAGATAAAAATATAACAATTTAGTACAAAACAAAAAAAAATTTGCTCTATTTGGTAATTTTTGGTGTGGACGTCTTTATATTTTTATGCTCAATTATTTGTCCATTACCCAATTTGATTGTTTTTACATGAAAATTTCATATTCAATTTTACTAAAACAAACAACATTGCTATATTATTATTATTTTTTTTTGTGATTGATGATGCAATAAAAGGAATCTAAAAATCTTTGGGGGTGCAAATGTTATTAACTCGAATTATAACAACCAAGAGTTATTGAGAAATGACGGCGATCTGTTGAGATTTCATGTTCATGGACGGCGACGTGAGTAATGACGCGTTTATATATAGCTTTGTTGAGTCGTTATGTTTACGCATCCACGGTGTTTGTTGGCATTCTCTCTCTCTCTCTCCAAGACCCACCTTACTTCTTCTCTCTCCTCTATATAACAGCCCCGCTAACCTTGCTTGGTTTTTTATCCATTCCCAGAAAAACACATACTACATATATTTTGTGCCACTTTGCGTGATCGAATTGAACTAGGTGACTCTTTTTCTTAGTTTTTGGGTCTCCAAGTTTGTTCTTAATTAGATTCTCTCGCTGCAAGGGGGTAGATGAAGATGGTGTGTTTGATATCTCGTTCCGGAAGGCATTTGCAGAGATACAACAAAGGTCGTCGCCTTGTTGTAGGGTACGTTTCTGTTTAAATTCTTGAGGTTTCTTCAGAATTTCTTCCTTTTTTAGTGAATTCCAAACATGAATTAGTGTTTATGGAAAACCAGGGTTTGTTTGCTTTCACAGAGAGAGAGAGAGAGGGAGAGAGAGAGTTTTGAAGAAATGGTCACTGCCCAAATCTTTTTCTTCCCTTTCATTTATATGTATATAAATATGTTGCATATATGTTTTTATACAATTTCTTCTTTTCCTTTTGATGATTCTATTAAAATTTCAAATGTAATTTTGCTGTTTTATACAGAGAATAAAAGTCGATCTCTTTTGTGATTTAGAAATATAAGTTTGAGTATGAGGAATTTGCATGGGAAAAAATAAATATTTTTGCATGTTTATGGGCATCGATCACTGAAGAATTCGGGGTATACCCTTTTTTTTTAATTAATCGAGATTGGATTGCAGCTTATAGCTAAAGATGGTTTAATGTTGTTCAATATCTATATTCAAACGACTATGCACTAAAGTTTTTTTTTAATCTTGCAGATGTATTCCCTATAGATATAAAAATGGAAATGGTGATGCCATAAAGGATGAATTAGAAGTCCTTGTGATCAGTTCGCAAAAAGGCCAAGGAATGATGTTTCCTAAGGTAACTGTTCATATAATATTTTAGAGAGAAAGACACCTTATTTGAATGATTCATACCAAGAAAATCTCCATCTGTTATTGTCTAACACTATACTAAATTACTCAATGACTAATATATGCTAATTTTAACACTATAAATCATCAGGGAGGTTGGGAGCTTGATGAATCTGTCGAAGAAGCTGCTTCTCGGGAATCGCTTGAAGAAGCCGGAGTTCTGGGCAACGTTGAGGTTAGGTTAATTCTGATTGAATATTTGTATTCATTGTAACCATAGGTTTCTTGACTTCAGTTCTAAATATAACATGTGCTTTGTAATGTTACAGTGTCAATTAGGTATATGGAGTTTCAAGAGCAAAAGCCTTGGAATATATCATGAAGGATACATGTTTCCTATGCTTGTGACTGAACAACTTGATCTATGGCCAGAAAAAAATGCCAGAAAAAGATTATGGGTATGTTGCATATCAATGTCTTCGGTCATTTTTATCTGTTTATGCATGCTTCAACGAGACTCCTGTCATTAAAAACGATGAGGAGGGGTTAATTGTATGCAATGTTATCCAAATTAGTGGAGAGACACGTCACACTCAAAGTCCTCTCGATTTTGTGCTTATTAGTATGTTGAATTGTTTGGTGCAGATGACAGTGGCTGAAGCTGGGGAAGTTTGTCAACATTGGTGGATGAAGGAAGCCTTAGACATACTAGTTGATCGCATTAAATCTTCGAGGCATGAAGAAGAAGATGTTTCACCTTAGATTTCTAAGCTAGAGAAACAACACTCTTAAGTTTCGTTGTACATATGGCATGGCTTAAAGCCATAGGTTTGTCCATGGATCTCCACAAACCAGGTGATCAAAGGACTAATAATGGAGGTGAAATTTATGTACAATGCTGACAAGTTTGAAGAAAGTTTGAAAAAATCAAATTTTGAAGATAGTTTTAATCAGCTTGTTTATTCATTGAGGATTGGTGTTGTTGCACCTTCATGAAATTTTGATCTGCTCACAAACCCAACCCCCTCCCCACCCCCCCCCCCCCCGAAAAAAAAAAAAAAAAAAAAAAACCAACCCCATATTTGTGGTTATCGACATTTGAATTATATATGGTGTGAAGGTTCATGTTCTTGTCTATATTCGTGGACAAGAGTTTTCAACTACATCTCTTTTTATGATAGTCTCTGAATAAGTTAAAGTTTTGATCTCTCCTACTTATCCTTAATCTCAAACATGATCTACGATCTATAACCACAATTGTTGGCACATACCATATTCTTTATTGAAGGGAAATTTTGCAAGCTCAAGTATAGGATTAGATTGACAAAAAGGGCCAAGCATTCCATGTATATCCATTACACTCTTGTTATCCACTCCTTGTTAAATTGTTGTCTGCGACTTTTCTCTCTCCCTCACACACACACACAAACAAAAATAGGGAAGGGAAAAAAAGTGGCACATGTATTCCATTGGGAACCACAAAATTAAGTTGTACACGACAACCAGATCGAGTTGTCTATTTTAAAAGAAAAATTCTGCCTACATCACTTTTTTTATAACGTTTTATACGGTACAATCAGAGTCACTAAATATTTAATAAATTCTATAAAACTTATTAATTTAACGGTCTATATTGAGATGGTGCACAAATGTAATATAAGAAGATGAAATGTGTGCATTGTTAATTTTAAAAGTATGAAACTGGATGGCCCCCATCAAATGCTGTCTTGTTAGGACAAGGTCCACTAGTTAGTTTGTCTTTTTTTGCAACATAAATTTTGTATTTGAGAAGCTTAAAGATATGGTTCGGGGAAAATATTTTCTTTCTGATATTTCATTGTCAAGTTTGTTTAGTCTTTTCTTGAGTAGATGTAGGCTTGACGTATGGTTGATAATGCTCCCCAGCCATTGTCACACCTATCTTTCAACTCTATGAAAAATGGAACTTGATATACAAGATTTTAAAAGAGTAAGCCTTGCAGGCATGGCTAATTAGAAAAATATTCTAAATAATGGGAAGTTCAAATAATAGATTTGCATGGGGTATCTACACATTTCTTCAACCACAACATCGGGCCGAACTCACGATCATTTATTTGAGGCGGGGTTTAAGATATTATATATCGATGTTACATGGGTCGGGTAGAAAAACATAAATATGCACCCATAAAAATTTTAAGTGCACAAAATCAAGTTCGATCCACATTCTAAATTGGAAGAACACACATATATGTTAGAATTAATTGGACCTAATCTAATCAACAAAGAGTCCGTTCTCCTCTTTTAATGATTCTAAGACAGATTGCATTGTTTAATTTCATCAACCTCAAAATCCCAATGAAATTGAATTTACTTGGGGATACATGCTAAAGAAAAAATCAGCAGGGATTCAAGTATAAAAAGAATTCTTAAATTAGATTTGAATTCAACTAAATGAACTTTTTATGTACTAGTAATGCGTCACGTGCATTGCACGTGAATAGTTTTCGTATACAAAAATTAATAAAACATATTAAGTATACGATTTTTTGAATTAAATATCATCTCAAATTTGCAAAAAAATTAATTTTTCATTCTTATATTCTATTATAAGATTATAAAAACTTTCTATATTCCTAAAATTCTTTGTTTTAACTAAAAGAAAATAGATTTAAAAACAATATTTAAAATTCTATTTATTTAAGAATTTTGTAATTGAGATTAATTTTTCAGTGATGTTTGAGAAATTAATTTTTTTTTAAATTCATTTTATTAGTAGTCCACTTATAATTCCTTGAATAAAATAAAAATAATTATTAATATACTAATCATATTAGCACCTTACTATAATTAGGAATTGGTCAAGTAAATTGAAATAAAATTTAATATACTATTCTAAAAAATCTAAAAATTTCAAGTTTGACTTAAAATTTCTAAAAAAAAATTCAGATTCTACAATATTAAAATTCTAAAAAATGAAAAATTTGCTTCAAAATATACTACAATATCTATTTTCACATAAAATCTTAATACAACTTAGAAATTTTATTGTGACTGAATAATTATATTGATGTAACAGAAATTGATTTAAAAAACTGTATATACGATTATTTTTTATCTTAGAAATGAAATGTTTAAATTTTTCGATGAAAAAAGAAAATACACATATATAGGTATTTTTTAATAGAAATTGATATTTATACCTAGAGAATAGATAATTAAAAGAGATGTTAGAGATAATTTAGAAATTTAAATACATAAGAATATGATGATAATTTAGATATTTAATTGTCGAAGTATAGAGTGGTCTTTAAAATTCTTTATAAGGGTAAAATAGAGATTTAAAAATTTTTCATGTTAAAATACTTTTATTAATAGTATAAAAAACGTTATATCGATTGTAAATGATATTGTTAGGTATTAATGGTATCGGTGGAACCTCTAGAACTCTTGGGTGGTTTTTGATAAATTAGCGGTAAAGGATTCCATATAATCAAAACCAATACTTGGCATCAATGGTATCTCTAGAAATCCTTCACTGGTTTTTGATAAATAATCTCTAAAAAATTTTGGTAAATCAAAATTGATAAATAAAAAATAAAAACATGTGTTCAGAATGTCGAGTCGAGTCAGTAGTTCGGATTAGTTCCATCTCAACAACTCGGATTTGTTTCATCTCGATAGTTAACCCTCCCAGAAATCATGAAGTTGGACAGAATCTTACCTCGAAAAGATTTTGACTAGTTCAACTCAATTGCCAATTCCACTGAGCCAACAAGATTGAGTCAAGTAAATGAGGCAACTAGTTCAGCTTCAGTAGGCGAAGTAAAATCCACAAACCGTCTAATTATATGGCCAATAAGAGTGAAGGCCATAAGAGTGAATCGAACACAAACAAAAGCTTTCTCTGTTCCCTCAAATACTTTTGATTGCCTTTGTCATCGTAGGATCAACCCTTGCAATTTCTTCAATCTTTGACTTACCTTTGTAGGTTTATAAGGGAATAATTCTAACTCTCCCCCGCATCTGGAGCCCGATGAACATCATCCTGAACTATCATAAAAAATCAATAAAATTTCCAATTTTAATGGTTGGTATGCAATGATGTACTTGCACATAATAACGATCCAAAGTTATAGAAAAAACAAAAAAAATACTTTAGTGGATTTTTACAAGTTATCAGCGGGAATACAAAAAAAAAAGAAGAAGAAGAAAGCATCAATATGAACTATAACATGCGATTTTCTTTTCTCTTTATGTTAGATATTTGTTGTTTTTTTGCAAAAATAACTTTTATCCGAACGGTTTGTAGAAAAGGTGGATAAGGCTTTGGAGTTGGACTTGCGAATAATAAAGTAGTTGGGCTGCCGGCTGCGGTCTACCAGGATTCAGCAACTACTACTTCCTCTCCTAACTCCCAAGTCCCAGCTCTGTTCTTCTCTCTCTCTCTCTCTCTCTCTCTCTCTCTTTCTCGAAAAACTCTTTCTGTAGCTTAGAAAGAGCACAGCTTTGCCGTTTAATGAAGCAAGAAATGGGTTCAGAAGGATCAAGTGTTGTGGGTAAGCTTCAAAGCCTTATATTTCTTCTTTATTGCTTTACAATGTCCTCCTTTAGCTCAGGAGGATCAAGAATTTTGTTGCATTTTGTGTTTCCGAAGCTTTTCTGTGTATGGTTCTTGCATTTACTGCATTCTGTTTTCATCTATATCTGGGTTTTCTGGAAATTGGGGTTTAGTCAAATTAGGGTTTTTGGAGTTGGGCCAGTGTGTCCTGTTTTTAATTCAATTAAATTTTTTCATCAAGGTGAATGTTTATTCAATACGAAGTGAAGTTTGTGGATTTTATTATCTATAAAGTTATGTAGAGGTCTGGATTTGAGGATACCGAAAAAGAAACTGTGAATTGTGAAATGAAATTGAGTTTCTTGTGTCTGTGTGTATTATTCTGTTCGGCGTTGTGAACATGATCATACATGTAAAGGAATGGCACAATATGTTATGAAATTGTTGAACAATCTAAAGAAATACAATAGATAAGAAAAGAGGAGGTTAGAGTTTTATTGATACTGCATAATTCAATTGAAATGCATAATTCAATTGAAATACAAGGAAGTAAGTTAACCTAAATACAAAGAGATTATATATAAGCTAAACAAGGTAGGGAAAATAAAGGACTATTCTACCCTTAATAAACAAAATAACCCTATATTTCTTAACATCTCCCCTCAAACTCATGATGCAGCAGCGACAAGTATCGAGAGTTTGTCAACTAAAAAATGAAAACGGGAAATAGAATGCGACTTGGTAAAGAAATCTGCAATCTGTAAAGAAGAAAAAACAAAGGGCAAAGTAATGGTGCCATGCTTGAGATGATGACGAGTAAGATGACAATCGATCTCAATGTGCTTAGTTCGTTCATGAAAAACCGAGTTGTGAGCAATCTGAATAGAACTCCGGTTGTCACAATACATAGGAGTGAGATGAGAAAGAAAAACTCCCACATCTACAAGTAACCTATAACCAAACAATCTCTTTGTTAGTAGATGTCATAGCACGATATTCTGCTTCGATTGAAGATTGAGAAACAATAGATTGTTTCTTACTCTTCCAAGAAATAAGAGAATCACCTAAAAAGATACAGAAACCAGTAACAGATTTGCGATCTGTGAGATCACTGCCATGATCAGCATCAGAGTATGCACACAGCTCCAAGGAAGAGGTGGATGGAAGTAAAAGGCTCTGAAAGATTGTACCCCGAAGATACCTCAAAATACGAAGAACCGCTGCCCAATGAACTGTAGTAGGAGAAGCAACAAATTGACTAACAACATGAACAACATATGCAAAATCTGGACGAGTAATAGTGAGATATACCAAGCTCTCAAAAATAGTACGGTATAAAGTGGGATCTGACAAAGGTAAATCATCAAAAAAGGAATACTTTGCGTTAACCGCAATGGGAATATCTACAGTTTTATTA